TGGAAGTGGCTTTTATGATTTCTCTATCGACGAAAGCGTGTGACAGTCTCAAGTGCATGTACGAAGACAAGGCTTGCAAAGAGTAAACGTATGATATATGTGAACATACGAAATTAATAATTTTACCGCATGACTATTAATAGCAGATAAATATTTTATAAACATTCCCTTGGGAAAATATACCTTAGAAAATATACCTTAAAATTTTACTTTAGAAAAATAAGAAATGTGAAGTGAATTTGGACACTTTAAACTTTTATTTAAGGTAAACTTAAAACTTACTTTTAGAATTTAAAAGAAAACTTTAAGAATTTTGATTTTCTTCTTACGAGAAAGCGCTATACCGCGCGGCCCTCTAGCGGAAACTTCGACAGGCTTAGCTATCGAAAAATTACTTTAAATGTCCAAAATTACTCTCAAATTTCTTTAATAAACTTTTAACTCTTTTAGGTAAACTCTTAGATACGAAAGATTACTTTTAAAAACTTTAATTTCATTTAAAGTAAATTTTCCCGAGGGTTGTCTTGAAATTACAAGTCAGCCATTCTGCTAGGCCGCAGTTACTTCAAACTTTACAACGAAGTCTGAGATCCTGACGCGTGCGTAAGCTACAAGCAATATCGTCAGGGAGATTTCAATTTGAAAGATTTGTAGCTATGAATATATTTATCGTCGGTTTGGAAGGGAGTTTATATCATTGATCGACGCAATTCGCAATTCCTAGCGCGACCATGAAGCTAATCGTGCGCCAAGAGATGCGATGACATTTAGGAGAGGAGAAAAAGCGCCAGGATTCCCGTGACGTCGCGCACCGCGCAAAAATATTCTCCGCCGTATTCCTCGAATTTTTCCTCCGTGCGCAAGCAAGAAGAAGAACTCGCGTCGCTTTCCTCCGCTTTTGCGAGACGACGCACGCGGGCATTCCTTCTCCGACGAGCCGCGAAGCCGCTCTACCACCGTTGTCCGTCAACCGGTTTCGTCCCGTCCGGCCTTAGCGACGTCTTTCTCGGCATCTCCACCTCGGGTATCTCGCCCAAGCCGGCGAGATTCTATTCCGGTCATCTTGGGTTTTCCCTGCGCATGTGCCACCGATCAAGGTCGTCGTCTTCGCGTCTGGAGCACGCTGGGAGAGCTCGCGACGCATCGCCGCCGGAAGTCGAGGCGCACCGTCGCTGTGATCGAACGTTATTTATCGATGCATCGCGCGCGTAACTCGCTCACCTTCTGGCGGACGTTCGTGGCTCTCACATTGAAATAATTTAAATCAGCGATTTTTAACCCAAACAGCGGCCCCCTTGCGTCATCGCGGTCGTTTCACTCGATGTTATCCCGTGACGTAATCCGAGATTGGACGAGGAAAAGGAAGGGCACTCGCACTTGTTAAGAAATCTCTTTCTCTCGAGAGAAATCTCTTTTGAAATCGATGAAAAGTGAAATGAAAGGGAGTTTATCGATATCCGTTTCTACCAATGTAGATAAACTTTAATCTCGGTTTAATTTGCCCTTCATCCTTTTTTCTAATTTTTAGAAGAACAGCAAATTAAATTCCCTTTCATTTCACTTTTCATCAATTTCAAAAGGGATCTCTCTCTCGAGAGAGAGAAAAATCATATTTCTTAACAAGTGCAAGGGCCCTTCCTTGTCCTAGTGGAAGATAAAGAGTAAGTTAAATCGAGATTAAAATTAATCTCGTTGGTAGAAATGGAAATGGCTATACCTCAAAATGAATCATAATTTTCCTTATGAAATTCAATGTGATACTGCGAAGTATAAGGAAAGTTAAAGTATATACTGCTGAAAAGTAATAAAAAAATTATCTAGTATTAGATATTATGAAACTTACTGAATTTAACTGAAAACTGTTTATTACTTCTAATGAAAACGTGTTTTTCACTCAACTTTCATTAAACTTTAGATGAAATGATAATGAAACGGGATCTCGCTGAAAATATTGCTTAGCATTCACGCGCGTTATAGTATCACAAAAATTTCGTTATAAAGTTTCAAGTAGCTCCAGCTTAGGCCCTTGACAGAATGGCTGACTTATAATTTCAAGACAGTGTTCATAAAATATTCATCTATTATAGCCGTGCAGTAAAATTATTAATTCCGTATGTTCGCACGTATACGTTCATTGGGAGAGATTTTCAAATGTATTTCGGCGAAATAAAATATTTCCACCGGGGTCGGGAATGTAAAAGAGAAGCGAGAAAGGAGATAGAGGTTTTACTATGTTATCATTGTGTTATCGCGGGCTTAGCGACGTATTATTCCTCGTTCTTAGCTTCCAAAATGCCTCCGCACACAGATTAGTGTGAATTCTGTAGCTCGGTTGCGCCAGGAGAACTTGCCCGCAAGTTCTCCCAGCTCGAAATGCTTCGTCACGGTTTGGGAACTGCTGCGTTGTAAATTTCTCCGTGAGCATCCCGCGTGCGCACGACGACACATAATCGTGCCAAATGAAGATCTATCATTCGAGCTTCTTTTATGAATGACATGTTTCCTCATGAATCATGTAAATCCGTTTTTTTCCGTTTTCTCGCGTACGAAGAGATTAGTGACGCACGTTCTTCTAATTGTGACTGATACTTGCCTCATTAGTTTCCGCATATATTATTATTACAGCGACAAAAATGTCCGATTAAATATAATCGGATAATCCAGTTACATAATAACGATATATCCGATTAAATTGTATATCCGATGAAAGCTTTGATCGGTGTTTCAATCAAATTCCATCGGTAACCGCATTTCATCGGATAAATTTTATCGGAGAACGTAATCGGAAAAATTCATCATCGCAAACACTACTTAATTGGTTTATCCGATGAAAATTTTCTCAGTGTAGTTGCTAATGAAAAATAGCGAGATCATTTATAAATAACTTAAGGAAAGAGGAAACATACTCGAGGCGCGAAAATAATTTTCCTAGTTGAATTTATTGACTATCTAATTGAATATCGCGATTAAAAAAGTGCCATAAATTATTGAAATGAACTCGTTTGATTTGGAAATTTAAGAAATGATTTGTAGATGGTTTTAAAAGAAGAGGAAAAATGGTTGAAGCGGAAATGTTTTTCCTAATTGAATTATTGACGTCTAATTGAATATTGCGATTGAACAAGTGCTATAATTATTAACTCGTTCGATTTTTGCGGTTAACTTTTTCATATTTAGATATTAAATCGTTCCTCGATTAAAAGAAGTGCGCTATTTTATAGACATTATTCACTTAATGTCGGCCGAAAATAGATGAAAGCAATGTTTCGTATCAATGATTTCTCAACCTGTACAACTCTTTGATATTTACCGAACGAGATATCGAAACCTTGCCAAAACATTTGATTAAACACGACGTTTTCACACCTTTTCCGACGTTATGAGTAATTACATCCTCATTAAATCATCAATATAGCATCACTGATAAAATTTAAAAATCATCGCCTGGAAAGCACCTAATTTTACACTGAGAAAAACGCCCGATTAAATATAATCGGATAATCCTATTACATAATAACAAACGGATATATCCGATCAAATTGTATATCCGATGAAAAATATGATCGGTTTTTCCAATCAAATTTCATCGGTAACTGCATCTCATCGGATAAATTTTGTCGGATGTATCCATAATTTATTCGGAAAACGTAATCGAAAAAATTAACCATCGCGGAAACACTATTTTATTGGTTTATTCGATAAAAATTTCTCTCAGTGTATTGTTGTCCTTAACGTAATCAAATTTACACTGTCAGTAGAATTCACTGACGACTCGTCGCAGGTTTAGATCCCTCCCAGATACGTCTGCCATAATTATTGTGACAAAGTTTCAAGGTCTTATTCAATACCTGCTGGCCGAAAGAGACGCCGATAGACGTAAGTGTATTTTATTTTACCTGAAGAGGTCTCAGATTTCTTAATTTTCATGACGATCGCCGATTTGATGTCGCCCAGATCTTTCAAAGAGTCAAGGCCTTGCGCCTTATTGGCCGAAAAATAAATATAGTCATCTTACGAACCTTTTTTTGTCACAGACGCGCGTTGTCCTTTTACAAAAATTGGCTGTACCGAACTTGATTACGGGGACATCTGTTGATTAAGAATTTGCCGGCACAGACTCACGAACTCGTGACGTTTCTTAGAACAGAAGTGTATTCTACTTGATAAGGACCTGTAATTTGGTCGAAACGTTGTAGCTTTTTGTTAATAGAGGAAAGTCCTCCATTATGAGATAGGATTCTAATATGAGGTAGTGGGCTTTCAACGCCCAAATTTAATCACAGATCTTCTTTCGCAACGATTACACGATCTAACGGTCGCTTTTCCACTAGACAGATTTCACTCCAAGGGCAATAAATTCATAGCGGAACCAACAAACGATGCCTATTAATTTACCAGAAACTACGTTATCTCATATTAAGAGATTATCCCATAATAGAGGACTTTCCTCTAAATTAATCTCTTGCCGGTTTGGTCGACTATAAGTTGGCGACTTATTTTTTATTTATTACCGGCGACAATAAGCACCGCTACGTTGATAGTAAATTTCACTTGGAAATATGTAAGCGGGCACAATAAAAGTATCCCAATCTTTCTGGCAAATCGCGTTGCCTGGATTTTCGTTCCTCCGGAGAGGACGCAGAGGAGTGACGCACATTCGCCCTCTTCTCCGCACTCTTTATATCGGCGCACTCACCTGCGGGAAAGGTTGCGCCGCGGTGGAAAAGCGATGACGTTCGCGGAACGATCGTGCGTACGCGATCAGGAAAGATCGTCGCGATCGTGCGTGCGGGAACGCGGCGCCAAAAAAAAAGGAGGAATCGTGAAATCCCCGTTCTCGCCTTCTCCAATGACGTCACGGAAGGCGCGATCCGTTGCGACAGGTCCACAGCGGGTTGAGTTTATCCGATCCGCCCGGCGTCTACCGGTCGCTACCGGTCCCAGGTCCCATCAAGGTGGGGAAGCACGTTTCCTATATCTGCAGTGTGGAAGACTATAAAGCCGCAACAATCGGCCGCGCCGCCGACAGTGCGCGAGCATCTCGAAACGACGATGTAGTGCGTGAGAAAACGTCCGAAAAATATCAATCGCGGTGTACCATTTCGGAAAATCGCCGGCAGTTCCCACGGGCGAGGACCACTTCGCGCGATAACGTCGATCCCGAAATATTTTCGAATATACCTGGATATTTTTCCCCGTCTCGCTTCCAGCATACCTTTGCACAGTGGATCTCTGTTTTGTGGATTATCAATTCACCCTTGTGCGCGTGGCTCATCGTTTGCATTGCTCTTCACTCGAGAAGAATCGGTAGGTAAATATTCGTGTCTCTTTCAGGCCCGCTTTTACATTTTCAGACGCTCGATCGTGAATCTTTTCTTCTAGCGTGAACTCGTGGAAAGTGAAAAATTTCATTGGAGAATTTCACTATTCGTCAATGAAATATTTCACCTTTCACGAATTCACGCTAGAGGAAAAGATTCACGGTCGAGTCCCTGGTTAACAGTTAACGAGAAAATGAAAAACCGGGCCTTAAGTCATCGTAGTCGTCAGATATCTCGTTCTCCTTTCCTTTTAATATGGAATGATCTGGGGATAAATGTTGGAGAATTTTCGCGCGCAAAAGGGGATTTCGCCTGCCTTCCTTTTACATTTTATACGGATGAAACTGGAAAGCAACGAGGCTACGATGCTGAAATTACAATGGGGAAACTTCGCGGAGCGTATAACACTTTGATAACCCGGCGTGCCGTTCTCTTATTTTCTGACTTTACATCGTGCTTACATATCCTGCCAATTACTTAACTGCTTCAAGTGCCAATCCGTTCATGCTTGCCATACGAAATTTCCTATTTCCGTTATAAGAAAATATCACGTCGCGGTTGACAGATCACCCGAAACGGAGCGAGTACTGATTCCGAGTATTAAACAAAGCGGATAGAAGGAATAATGGAATTAAGCTGCGGACCAACGAGGCTAGACATTGCAAACTGATAAGCGAGATAGAGTCGTGATTAGATCTAAGCAAATCAGCGGAGGAGCGCGGCAATGGATTATTAACACGCTAACAAGGCTGCAACTTGCTCTCGCGATTTCGCCTGCCGACCGTGTCTTCTTTCTTTCCCGCTTTTGGGCCCCGATTATTTCGCGGTGCAAATTCCTATAGAGAGGCAATCCCCGTAAGTACCCATCGCGCTTTATGAATATCTGATCGCATTATAAGCGCTGATGACTTACCGGCAGCGGCTTTTTTTTCCTCCTTTTTCGTTACGTATCTTCGAGGACGGTACATAATTGCTCGATGTAATTACTTCTGCACTGAATTAATGCGGCGTTCAGGTCGTTTGTACAACATCGTCTCGATATCTTGTGAAGTCTCAACGACATAGATGTTACGATCGCATGAATATCTCTCGCGCAACACGAGCGCACGACACGTGGCGGAATTAATTAGTTTATTAACAATATGTAAATACGTGCATCAGGGAATTTTTGTATATTCGATAAGCTCAGGTAAAGGCGCATACCTTTCCGGATCCGTTCGAGGGAAGTATTGCGGGATTACCAAGGGATATCCCGAGTCGAGCGCGCTCGTTGTTTTTAAAGTCTCGGTACTCGGGGACTGTAAGAAGCGATAAAGGGATAAAGAAGGGATAAAGTGCCGCTCTGTTTAAAATAATAGATAACACCATAATGTAAGAATATCAGGTGTAACATTCCCGTGGATGCGCACTAGTGACCAATCTGAAATTTGCCCCAAACTTTCAAACTGCAAATCACTTGCGGTTGAACGCGGCAAGAACCAATGAACAATTTGCCCCAAAAATTGGTTATATGCGCAACGTTTCACCTGATATTCTTTACATCGCGGATAAAATATGATCAGATTACATTAGATTCCATGCAATTTCAATGTAAATTAGTAAGACTCTTATTTATTTGCATTGAAATTGCACGACGTCTAATGTAATCTAATCGTATTCTACCTAATATTGTAAGCAGGGCGAGCGATTCTGCGAATTTCGCGGAGATAAACGACGCAGAGCCGGTAGAAATTGATCTCAACGAGTGCTGCAGAGCAGACGTTCTTTACTGTTTGTTTGCTTCAATCGTCTACTTTTCGCTTATATTGATATAAAATAATCTTACGTGACCTCTTATATTCCCTTGATTATCATACGCCGTCGTTCGTCGAGCCGCTGGCTTTAACCTGACAGCAGATTCTCTCTTTCTAAATAATTTACACCAACTTCGACGTTCCGCGGCGCCGGGCGGGCATTTAACATAAAAATATTGTAATTAATAAGACCAATCGCACGCGTCATGGCGCTTTTCTTGTCGGCAGTCTTTTATTCACACAACTTCCTCTTCCTGCGCGCGTCGTCACTTAAAAGCGCAGATGCTCGGCTCATTAGCGGTACAATGATTAATGATAGCGAGACGCCTTGTCTCATTGTCGTATTATGTATTTTGTTCTTTGTCCTAGCATGTCTCACGTTCCAGCGAACGGGACCGCCGATACCCGGCGATCTTTTCCCCGCCGTTAGTCGTGGAAAACATTCTTTTAAGGGAGTCACGGTCGTCTCTTTCCAGATACTGCGACGATGACGGTCATGGTCGAGTCCACGAAAGTCGAGGAGGGCAACGGTCCCGCGAAGATCGAGACCTTCGACGATATCCTGCCGTACGTCGGCGAAGCGAGCAGGTACCAGTGGTTCCTGTTCATTCTGCTCCTACCGTTCACCTTCGTCTACGCCTTTTTGTACTTCGCGCAATTCTTCCTCACTCTCGTGCCCGCCGAGCACTGGTGCACCATACCGGAGTTGGACCACTACAATCTTACGGATTACGAGAGGTAAGTTCGATGAGGCGGCACAGATCTCGCGATGCTTCGAGCGCATATTCCGAAATCGAAGTAAACGATTTTTCACATCTGAAGAGATAAGGAAAATAAATGGAGTAATAAGAAATTTATATGTATAAATAATTTGCACCAAGTAACTTCCACGGATCTGTTTTTGCGCGAGTGGGTTCCGAGAGACAAAAGATTCCCGAGATTCGTAAGCTTAACAACGCCCGGGACGAGCCTCGCAATAGCAAAGAACGAGGAGGCAGCGAAATTATCTTCATCTTTATTTCATAACGACAGTTCAAGTCCAGTCGGCTCGAGCTGACCAAGACCTTGGGCCACGGTCGGCTTGGCTTATATATAGCTTCACCCTTGCATGTTGGACTTTTTGCCTATGTGCATATAGTGTGTCTCAAACTCTCTGCATCGTTTCGCCCGTCTTTCCAAGAACGACAATAATTTTTAGATTATTGACGGTTAAATATTTAATATTTTCTCGAGCAATTCAACCTTCTCCTGAGAAAGTATCATTTGAGGATATTTTAAAGCTGCAATTACATTTCTCCGAATTGTAGCGTAGCAATTAAAATAAAAATACGCACAAAGAGCTATATATATATGTATATATATATTATCTCATCTACTTTTCATAATAATAAATTTGTATTATTCAAATACACGAGAGGTTCTAATGAATCAGTTAGATCTAAGGCCCGGGCTCACAGTGGCTAGTTAGTTTAACTAGTTGTTAAGTAGTGATGCCACTGATACAAAATTCGGTAAGCTATTTACAAGGTTAGATTTTGACAAGTCGCATCTTCGCAAATAAGTTTAAAAAATATATACATATATATTGATATATTTGTGTAACTAGCCACTGTGAGCCCGGGCCTTAGTGTTTATCTTGCTTGAAGCGAAAAATAAATAATTGCTACACCGAGAGAGTTTTCTCTTAAAATTTATCCTGGAAATCGTGTAATTGTGGGACAACACGGCATTTCGAAGAATTTTACGAGAGTTTTTACTAATACGTTTATGAGAAATTTTAGTAATGAAATGTATGGTACAATTAAAAACCTCAGAAGGTTCTTCAAAAAAAAAAGGTTGATCCACGATTACACGATTTTCAAGATAAAGAGTGAGAACAAGATCGGCCCTATTTCTTTCGCATTCGATTTTGGTCACAAAGTAAGTACCAAACGGAAGGTCTTGTCAAGATGATCGCAGATATGTCAGTCTCAGAGTGTACCTATTTAACGTTCCAGAGATATCGTGCTTCAAAAATTCCAAAACCGAGTTGGAGTCGACTGAAAAGTTTCCCCAATGGTCGATGCTAATGGCATCGTCCTGCATTTTCTATGAACCTAAGAAAGTTTTAGGTGATTAAGTAAATTATTATCTCGGGCTCTTTTATTTTCTATAATCTAACCAAATAGGTTCGGCCAAAAGCATTCGGCACTGGTACCTTGAAGCCCGATATCTCTGGAACGTTAAAGGAACACCTGAGACTGACTTGTAATCAGCTTGATAAGACCTTTCGTTTGGTACCTACTTTGTGACCAAAATCGAATGCGAAAAAAATGGGGCCATTTACCTATGGACACGCGTTCTCACTCTTTTAAGAGGAAATTGTCTCCGCGTAGCGGCGCACTTGTCGGGTTTTCCCCAAAATCCAACGCATGATGTTTCAAACCGGAGGTAGCGACGATAAGGTATTATTTTGCGATTGCGCCACTCGAGAGTAACAACATGTATGAGACGACAAACTCTTCTTCCGCGTTAAACGTTGTTAAAACGTTGTTAAACGCGACTTAATTCACGTCCGAATAATTTCGTCCTCGTACCGCGAAAAGAACATTTTTCTTGAACGGAGTAAGAAATATAATTACGTCTAATTACGTTACACTTCTTGTAAGACTGTCCGCCGTGAACGTGTTATACAAATAGAAGTGCATAATTGCGTCTTTTTTTTCTTTTTTTCCCCCCTTAAGTGGGGCATAAGCCGCGCCAATGAAAATTGTAGGCGGAACATGCGCGTGGCGAGATCATTCGCTTGGCAAGCGTAATTTCCAAATTTTTTGGCGAACACGTTTTTCGTTGAAACGGTTTTTTTTCGCGCGCTTTCAAGCATCTCGGAATAATTTAATCGTCCGGCGTTTTTTACCGGAACGCGTGTCGCGCGGGGATAATTGCGCCAGACGTTTCCCGCATGACTGTCACATAGGAAAGTCCATTGTTGCGGTGATTCAGATCACTCGATCGGCGGTTTCTCCATATCTGAAGAAGTAGAAAACCAGTTTGGTTAACGACCTCGAAGGGATTCTATGGGAATTCCACGAGAGGCAGAGGCAGAGGCAGAGACAGAGGCAGAGGCAGAGACAGAGGCAGAGGCAGAGACAGAGGCAGAGGGGGGGGGGGCGAGAGAATAAGAGAGAAGAATGATTTTTTTTCTTCTTTGAAAGACTGCCTGAAAGCGGGCTTTTCCTCCTCACTTTCTCCCCCCGAGAAACCGCGGAGTTGTTTGGCAAACACGAAGCGTATCATTAAAATCAGCCGCGACGCAACTTAAAACGGGATGAGAATAAAAGGGGTTCGTCGTCGCGCGAAATATCCTCAAGGTTTCGCCAACGTCGCTTAACTTGACACTCAGCTTAATTCATTCTTTGTCTCAACTGTCACTTTAGAACGAGACAAACGTGAATTGAACTAAGATAGTTAAGCGACGTTTGATGAAACCGGGCCTAAGTCTGCCGTTGAAGCGAATTCTGCGAATATTTGGAGGATATCGCAGGGTAAAAGATATCACAGGAATGTTCCCAGTACATTCTTGAGATAGTTGATTCTATAGAATAAGATATTCGAGTGATTATTGTTGTTAAGGATAAACACTCCGGGAATGGTGGAAACGCGTTTATCTCTTCGGACGGAAGATAAAACTGTCGTTTTGTCTTCCGTGGGACGTACAGGAACGCGTGATCGCGTTCCTCGGGCGAGAATGGCGCCTCCCCGAAGGAATCCACTTGCTATAATCGCGAGCCAGCGTGACTCGCGCGCAACGCGGTTAGATTACGACGAGCGCGCCTTTTATTTGGCGCGCGTCACTCGAATAGCTTTTCGTCACGTGCAATAGCGAAATTAGCGGGGCATTGGAAACGTCATCGCGCGGGTTTATTCTTACCCCCCCCCCCCCTAACGATTTTGTTTGTGTCTTGGGTTGCGACAGAATCGCGGTAGGGATACCCCCGGCCACCAACGAGGAATTGAGGCTGGAGAGCGCCACGTCGTTCTCGAGATGCTACATGTACGATGTAAATTACACTGAACTCTTGGAGCAGGGCGTCAGGAAGGCCAATTTGTCGTGGCCGATAGTCCGGTGCAAGCAAGGATGGACCTTCAACCACACGATGATACCGTACGCCTCGATCGCCGCCGAGGTAACTAAAACGCGGCATTAAATTCACTCGCCGTGAATCACTGTCGCCGTGGCTAATTGATTAATAAATTTGCCGACTGACGCGTTTAGCGAGCCATCAACTTCGCCGTATTTATCCTCGTCCTCTTCTTGCCGAGCGCGCAGCTTCATTGTCATCTTCTCGCGGAAGCGAGAGGGAAACCGGTACCAAAATTACCGTTCGCATACCGGTATTTTTTGGCGTTGCGTAATAACCGAGATAAAAATCGATTACCATACCGGTGACGTCATTAGTATTTGTTGCAACTGAAACGAAGTGGTGTAAGCTTCGATTGTGTGCACTGCACATGTATTTGACGTTTTACGTACGCAATTCAAGTTCCTCCGCGTTGCAATTGTATAAGACTATCCCGATGGAAATATTTTGCCGAAAATATTGTAAAATCAATGAACGGTGCAATGAAAGTTATTGAAAAATTATCGAATGTAAAGCGAATCATAATTTTCCTCGTGAAAGTCAATGAAGTACTATGAAACATAGAAGGAAAGTTAAAGTATGCTGTTGAAACGTAATGCAAAAATTATGAAAATGTTTTAGATATAAAATTTATTGGATTTAACTAAAAACTGTGTTATACTGTTAATGAAAATGATAATGATAATATTTTTCACTAAATTTTTACTGAAATGTTAACAAAATGATAATGAAACGGGGTCAATTGAGAGAAACTGTCTAATATTTTTCAGCAAAATTTTCATTATACCTTCAGTAAAATATTTCCATCGGCATAACGATGATAGAAATTATTTATAAAAATTACTTTGGCATGTACTCGCAGCATACATCTATCTATAAAGACGCTGATAAATAAACGTCATCGTGATGGCAATATATTATTAAGGCTCCTGCGTACTCACTGCCGCCATGTTGGATCGTGACGTCAGAAGCGAGTAATGACGCGCTGAGAATTTTTGTGCTTTATAAGTAAATAAACCAGAAATTTTACCAGTAAAAAGTATGCTAAAATTTTAAAAACTCTCATAAAATTCTTCGAAACGCCACGTTGCCCCCGCGATCACATGATTTTCAGGATAAACTTTAAGAGAAGATTATCTCCGTGTAGTTACACTACGATGTCACACCTTCCAACATGGCCGTAACGAGCTGAGGAGTCCTGCTAATAATGAATCCCTTCGCGATTGTATAAACGTGCGTTATTTTGCCAGCTCGAATGGGTTTGCGACAAGACTTTTCTCGGCTCCGCGGCCCAATCGGCCTTCTTCATCGGCAGCATTATCGGCGGCCTGATATTCGGCTACATAGCCGATCACTACGGCAGAATCCCGGCACTGGTATCTTGCAACGCGGTAGGATTCTTCGCCTCCATCGCGACGGCCTTCTGCAACAGCTTTTGGTCCTTCTGCGTCGCGAGGATGATCGTCGGCTCGTCGTTCGACAATTGTTTCAACGTGCTTTTCATTATCGGTACGTATCGTCGCGACTGAACGAAAAGTCACGGAGGACTTAAATTCATTTTCTGTCCGAATAAAGCAGCCTGTTGAGGAGACGTTTTGACTAGGTATTTCCGTTTCTGCATTACTGAGTAGTTTCGATTAAGAGTGAACAAGTCTTGAACTTACGACTTGAACTTAGACTTCCAACGCGACGGAAATTATTATTGCGATATCTCCGTCGCCGTTACGCTCACAATCAGCCGTCATTACTGACGATAACTTTTGGCCGCAGTGATCGAGTACGTCGGCCCGAAGTACCGAACTCTGGTGGCAAACATGTCCTTTGGGATTTACTTCGCCATCGCCGCCAGTCTCCTGCCGTGGCTCGCATTCTGGATCGCAGATTGGAGAATTTTAAGCGTCGTCACAGCATTTCCGATGATCGTCGCTTTCCTCGGCCCATGGCTTGTCCCAGAAAGTGCACGGTACTTGCCTTTACTCTTCTTGGTACCGCATGAAATTTGCAATACAAATAATTCTAATCCAGCGAGAAATGTCTCGTCGATCGACGATGTTGTCTATATGTGTAGTTGACCTGTTTACGTCTGCTAGGTGGTACATCATGAGCGGCAAGATTGACAAGGCGATCGGCATGCTGAAGAAATTCGCCAAGGTCAACGGCAAGGAAGTGAAGCAAGAGGTGTTCGAGGAGTTTGAAAGGAGCTGCAGAAACATGATCGAGAAGGACCAGAAACACAATCAGTACACGGTCGTGCATCTCTTCAAGTTGCCCCGATTGGCTCGCATCACCGTCATGCTCGTCATTTACTGGTAAGCGCCAGGAAGATTAGGCACGACCCACTTTCCCCCCCGTTTGAAACGACCATTGATCGGACCGGTTGGCTTCCAGGCTGTTGATCATTCTGGTATTCGACGGACACGTTTGGAACATGAAACTGTTGGATCCCGACGTGTTCACATCGTTCTCTCTGGCCTCGTTGACCGAACTTCCTGCGGCGATTCTGCTGGCGCTCTTCCTCGACAGATGGGGCAGACGATGGATGGGCTTCGCTTCCATGTTCATATGCGGCATTTTCTCTTTCATCGCTATCGCCACTCCCGCCGGTAAATTACATTGTCACTCGCGACGGGTCGATTAGCTCCGTTGTCGTCGGACTTACTCGCCTTTGTCTCGGAACAACACGGGAAACGTAAACTTGTCACGAGAAAGGCAGGGAAGATAAAACGGAAGCGCGCGCGCGCGGAGAGATGGGATTTTCGATTATGCGACTTTGCGAGCTGCGATCCAAGCTTCGTCGGATCGCGAGTAGCGCTTGTAAATCCTGCAGCACGTCGCATTTACATGACCCGCGATGTTTCAGGTGGACTAACCGTCACTATGGCGATTTTGGCGCGCCTCGGTGTCAATATCGCCGCGAATATCGGTTTCCAATACGCGGCCGAGATGTTGCCGACCGTAGTGCGGGCGCAAGGTGTGTCCCTGATTCACATTATTGGCTATGTCGCTCACATCATTGGGCCCTACGTGATTTACTTGGTAAAGTATCCTGGGAATTTGCGAGGTCGCGATTAACGAAATCTATTCGATCAAGTGGATCAATCGTCACTGTCGCTTTCAGGCCGACGTCAACCAGCATTTACCGCTGATCGCTCTCGGCCTCCTGTCGTTCGTTGATGCATTCATAACGCTGGCGCTACCGGAAACCTTGGACCAAGAGTTGCCCGAAACTCTGCAGGAGGGCAACGACTTCGGCACGGATCAGAGCTTTTGGTGGATTCCTTGCATATCCTCGTGAGTTCTCTATATATTATATGTATATTAAAATTCTTTGCAAACCGCGTCATTTACAGCATCTCTAAATTTCAAAATCATAATTTGATCGATTTTCTGTCACGATCAAAATACTGTATATGACTTTTGACAATTACTGTATCATTTTGATGTCATTTTGACTTCACCAGCACTTCTTGTTCTGCTTTTTCTGCACGAAGAGAATTTTATCTGAAAATTTACTCTTAAAAATCATGTAATTGTGGAATTTGGCGAATTTTATGAGAGTTTTTTGAAATTTTACCATACATTTTACTAGTAACTTGTAAAATGTATACTAAGTATAATTACTAGTAAAATAGAAGGTAAATTTTGAAAAAAACCCTCATAAAATTTTTCGAAGTGCCACGTTTACATGATTTTCAGGATAAACGTGTCTTTCCTCCTTTTCCATTCCCTCTCGTCTCTTTTTGCATTAGATTCAAGCTAAGAGAAATATCTAGAGTCTGTATTTCTCATGATAATAATTATGCAAACCTTGTCCATCAACTATGTCGGAATGTTTGCAGGACCCCAAAAGTGAAGAAATCGCTGAGGGAGAAGAAGAAGAAGGTGGGAATGACAAACGCAGCCTTCCATCACGACAATATTCAAACTGTAGACTGTACGAGATTATAACGGCCGGCGATATTCGCCAAATAATTTGCCAAATCGTTGTAAATATCGCGGTCGAGTCACCGCGTTTGTGATCTTAAGTGTTAAACTGATTGTGAATGATGGGACGATGTGGTGAAGCGGGACAGAAATACGAAGTGAGAAACGCGGGGCTCGACTCTACGCATTCGACGTTCAGGTGCACGCTCAAATGGACACGAATGCGAAGGTGAATTCGCAACTTCGAGGTCTACGCGATCGTCTCGAGAGTGCTAGATTACTTCTTCCGGGTCGCTTCCTCGCGACTTCGACCCGCCACTCTTCTTCAGGACGCAGCTGTGTGTACAAAGCTATTTGACTAAGTATAGTTTTAATGAAAATGGAGACCGTGACGAGCGAGCCGACTTTTTCACCTACCATTCGCGGTATATCACGAGGCTCGTGATCGGTCTAACATCGACGTATCCAATTTTTTTACACGGAGATTATCGCGCAGAATGGCGGAGCCTGGTGCGCCAAACGTTGTACGTTTCACTCACGAGTAAACGCAAATATCGCGCACCTGTATTCATATACACAGTTCCGCTGCTCTCGGTGGAATCAGAATATTCTATTACAAAGAGACGCCCAGTTCTTTGCACGTCGTCCCTCGTCTTGCCCGGGTAGCGTCTCCGACCCGCGATATGTAAAAGACGACTCATTTTCTGTGCCAAGATACGGAGATCGCCTTGTTACACTTGATATTCTTGAAAAGGTGCAACGGACTTGAGAAAAACCGTGCGAACAGCTAAAAAGCGGCTGCCGACGCTTTCTCGATGCATCATCAAGAATAGGTGCGGAATTGTTTAACAGCGATGGCAATCGTTATATTTTCGTTATATGAATAGAAGACTTTTATGTTATATATATTTAGGTATGTAATTTATGATAATGTACATAGGCCGGCACGGCGTTCACCGCATAAAGACACATTTTTCATCCTTCACTGCCAAACCTGAAGATTTCTTTGATAATCACGGAAGATGTCGATGCCATTTCACTCATTGTCATCTAATGGTGATTCACAGTGTAAAATAAAAGGACAAGTTGTTTTACCATCGTGTAAATTCTGTTCTCACGCATTTACTCTCTCAGTATCCCCTCTCAGAAAATGCTCAGATCGGAAGATTATCCCGACCTTGTCTAAGAACTTTATTAATTCGTACGGAAAGGAGCTTAATTATTTATAGTATTGTCACGTGCCACGCGCGCGAACGCGCGGCGCAAATTTCTTTCCTTAACTAATATTAACTTAACGTTTTCTTCGACGATCGCCGAGGATTGTTGTACAATGGAATTGAAAAGACTACAGCTCGCGTGTACGATAATGCCGATGTCGATTCGAATGCGGCCGCTCGCAGCAGGGCAGTGTCCAGAAGCTTTGCTCCTTGCCGAAGTCCTCCCCCTGCCGTAGGGTCTGCGGGAGATCGCGACCGAGCGTCTCCGGTAGGAACAACACCAGGGTGGCGGCTGCGAACGACACGATGCTGATAATCATCATCGGCAGCCCGTCCCAAATCTTGGCCTACAACAATTTCGACATTTTTTAACAAGTGAATTTGAAGTATAAAAAATGATATTTTCAATACGTAAAGTTACAATTCTTAATATTTGCGGCGCCAGAACTTTTGGCATGAGCGCTCTGCAGCACTCGGCGCCTACAAGGCCTATTTTCACACAGCTGTATCGTATTTTGTTATAGATTTTTATGGATCAAACAGACTTATATATACATGCCGACATTTTTCATAAAAATTCGCACTGGTGCGACTTGAAAACACGATATACTTAAATTAGTAACTAACTAGTTATTTTTAACGCGTTTTTCTGAAAACCATGTTTCCTGACCTGGTTGACAGCATCTAGCATTAAAAAATCAACCGGTTTACTTTAAACAAAGCGCAATCTGCTCGTGATATTGAATCTCTATCGTCCATCGAGACATTTTTTTCATAACTGTATTCGTGCATTTTTTGCAGTAAAAAAGAGTTCCAATTTATGCTTGACATTTTTGAGTTTCAGTTTAAACTTGTCGAACAAATAAAAAAATTAATCTTTCAAAAATCCGGCCCGATGAACCATAGCCACTGGTCTGTAGTTTAATAAGCACCTGTCGTTTATTTATTTCGGATAACAATTGTATCCTGTCAACCAGTCCCCATGTATTCCGTGCAACGCTAGCTGCGATATGCTGTATTACACTGTTACTGTCACCAAAATATTTGACCAAAATTGATCAATATCGTGTAAGAATCAAGCTTCAGTTAAAGAAAATGCATAATTTTTGGTTTATATTTTACATATGAAAAAGAAGTTAGAAAATCACCCATTTTCATGACTTCAACAGTGTATCCCCTCCCCCTTAAGAGTTTCACCGATATCTTCTTTCCAACTGAAGAATACGAAAAACCACTTACGCTATCCACCACGTATGGCGCGACGGAATGGGCGATAATGCCAAAAATATGGATCAGTGCGACGCCTTGGGTCCTGATGGGTGTCGGCAGCAACTCGGCGGCGTACTGGAGGCCCACGTTGGCTGACATATTCAAGCAAAATCGCGAAAGCACCGACATGGACAGCTTCGCTGCGACTGCGGAACAATAAAAACGCGTTAGACGAGGGACCGCGGCACGGTCGCTCGATTTTATTCAAAAGGTACATTCGGAGGCACGTGTGCATGTGCTCACTCGACTGTAACAGCAGTTCGGCGAAGCTGAAGAGGCAAGTCATGGCCAGAGTGATAAATCCGCAGAATCGGCGACCCCAGCGGTCCAGTAGCAACGTCAGCAACAGCCCGGCCGGCAGCTCCGTCGCGCAGGCGAGGGAGAAGGACACGAACACCGAGCTCGGGATCAGCTTGAGGGAGTATACGTGGCCGTCGAAAGCTATCATCGTCAAGGACCTAGAAAGCACCGAGAATACATCCGTAACTTCATCGCCGTACGCCGACGTATCTAATGCATTAAAGTGGAAAGCGGAATATAGCGTCCGATCTCGAAGGCAACAGCGCGGTATAAATTTAGTGGATAAGATCTGAGATGCATCGCCAGGCTCTGAAGCTATTTTCGGGGAAGGGGATTACGTCGAGATATATCCTGCGGTAAGATGGAAATGCGATATCTTGAAAAATTAATGTTCCGCGAAGTCAAAGAAGATAAAGTATCGAGTAAAGAAGTGGACGACGAAGCGGCAGCGGGGAAATGAAGTTGCGCCTTACTCACCAAAAGAAGATTAGCAGGACGGTGTTCTTCGCCAAGCGCGGTGACTTCAGGATATCGAAGATGGTCGCGCTTTCCCTTTGGGAATCGACTGCGGTCAAGTTTCTCTGTAAAGATAATAAGGTGGACGGTGAACGATACGCGAGCCGTGCCACAGTTGCATGTTCCAGCTTTGCATCTCATTATTATTAGTCTTACTTACGACGAAGACCTCGTAGATGCGCATGTCGGGGCACTTCCTGTTGATCTTCGCTATTCGTTGCAACTTCTGCACCATTTTATCTAATCTGCCGTTGGCGACGAACCATCTTAACAGCGAAACAGTGTTCTATTTCAGCGAAAAGTTTGGAGGACGCAAGACGAGACGCGGGTAAGAGTGAAACGAGCTTACAATTGTATGAATTTCTAAGAACAACATAAATTTCTAGAAATCGTAACGCTGTCCATTGGAAAACTGTAAATCTCATTTAATCCTTTGAAGCCCAAGGAAAAAAAGCCTTTTAAAGAAGGTCAGACATTTACAATATTATACGTATAAATACTTGTAAATAACTGTCCATTAAGCAATTTCAAGAAATGTATTATTCTAATACACTACTTGGACTTTGGTTTCACAGTGAAACCACTGGCCTTAAGTAAATATTTTCTGTTAAACAATTTTTTTCATAAATATTAATTTCAAGAAATAAACATTTATGATATGCACATATAAAAGATCAATTTCTTAGACATTTTCAGTAGGAAATGACATAAGACTGACATTATACTGAAAAATTAATCAGAAAAATTTTCAACAATATTAATTGTTGGTACTTTATATTTTTTTAAATATTCAGTCACGTACCTTACAAGTCAAGAACTAAAGGCAGTATCGTTTCAAAGAGCCAGACAGCCACTAACAAAAGTAATATAAAATAATAACTTGATCCCGGTAAGAAATTTTCAGTTTAAAAGACGTCTAATCAACGTCTTTTCAACAACAAAGACCGATTGATGTAGTCGTCTAAATTTTGGTTGATTTAGACGACTACGTGTCCTTGAAATTAGATCTGAATAAGACGCTTATTTAAACGTCTATTAAAGCCTGCGTCCACGATGCTAGAACTTAGTTCAAGTTCTAGTTTCAAGAAATGTGTAGGCAATTAACTTGCAGCAAAGTTGATTGGCTGCACATTTCTCGAAACTAGAACTTGGACC